GCCACTAAAAGTGATATATAGACTTAGGCAAGTCCCCATGTGCCTCAGTTTCCCCATCTATAAAGCGGGGACACTAAAAGGTCCTTCCTCACAGGTTTGTAGAGGGCATTAGATGAGTTGACAGGTTAGTTTAAAAGGCTGAGGACAGGAACTCGAGAGATAGTTCAGTGGTTAAGAGCACTGACTGCTCTTGCGGAGGACCTGGGTTCGATTCCCAACACCCACATGGTGGCTAACAACCATCCTTAACTCTAGTTCCAGGGGATCCAATGCCTTCTTCTGACCTCTGAGGGCATTGCACAACACGGGTGCGCTTACAAGCATGCACATAAATGCTTACACTCATACACATAAAACAAGGATCTCTAGATAGGCTGACTAGATTCAGCAGACAGACAAGCACTGGAGAATGGCTGCGGGTGTCGACAACACAGAGGTCAGTAACAGGGATGACAGACTATGTGAGCTCCAGTATGTGGGAGAGAGGAGGCTATGGGAGGGTGCCATTTGGGAAGTGGGTATATAGATGAATAAGATTGTGTGGGATATACTATATGATATACACACAGGAAAATCAACAATTTTTTTAAAAAGACATTTGAGGAGGAAGCATAAAAATTTACTTCATGTTAAATAGTAGAGGTGATAAAAATTACCAGTGAAATCTACCTGATGACTTTATATCCATACTCAGGTACTAAGGATCCGAGTGTAACTGACTGTGACTAGTAATCATCAGATACATAGAGAATGAAATGCTTCTTCTAATCATGTGGTTATTAAATTTTTTAAAAGTTTAAAAAATAATTCTTCAAAACAAAAATTCTCCTGGAGCCCAGCATGGTGGTGCACGCTTTTAATCCCAGCATTCAGGAGGCAGAGGCAGAAAGATCTCTGTGAGTTCAAGGCCATCCTGGTCTACATAGTAAGTTTCAGGCCAGCTGGGGCTGCAGGGAGACTCTGACTCAAAAAGACCAGAAAAAAAAAATTCTTCTCCTGACTATTGTACCAAGTTGCTGTTCCAAGTTCAAGTGGGATACAACTGTACTGTACAACATCTTATTTGCTGTATGATATAATTATATATAAAGAATTAAATAAATGTGCATTTTATTGTAATATGACAAAATAAAAATGTGGTATGATGAAAAAATAAAATAAAAACAATAAATAAAATTTGTTTTCTAAATGCTGAAAACAGAAGATGACAACTGGCAAGGGCCCCATAAATACTGACCATCGCTGTTTTCTAGCCACGTGGCCCACAGTCTTAAAAATAAGAAGACAAGGACTGAGGATGTGACTCACTTGGTAGAGTGCTTGCCTAGCATATACGAAGTTTTGGGTTCAATATCAGCATAGCATAAATGGGGCAGGGTGACACACACATGTAATCCCAGTACTCATAAGGTAGAGATAGACGGATCAGGAGCTCAAGATCATCTTCTACTACATAAGGAATAAGGTCAGCCTAGGTTACATGAGAAGAGAGAGAGAGAGAGAGAGAGAGAGAGAGAGAGAGAGAGAGACCAGAGGTAAAGAGTGAGAGCAAGTTTAGGTCACAATGGAGGCTCAGTTTCCATCTGTCAAGCTTCTCCTTCTCCCTGGTTCCTGCAGAGGGGTCAAGAGGCATAGGAGAGGAGGGGAGGGGAGGGGAGGGGAGGGGAGAGGAGAGGAGAGGAGAGGAGAGGAGAGGAGAGGAGGGCCTTCCAGAACACATCCTTCAGGCAGACTCACCCATAAATCAATATAGCTCAGCTTCACATACACACATGCTCACTGCAGCACCCACCCAAATCAACACACATTCAGCTGCAAGTACACACTGCCCCCACCCCATTCCACCCACTCAAGAGCCTCACCCCAGGAGGAGAGGAGAGGAGAGGAGAGGAGAGGAGAGGAGGGCCTTCCAGAACACATCCTTCAGGCAGACTCACCCATAAATCAATATAGCTCAGCTTCACATACACACATGCTCACTGCAGCACCCACCCAAATCAACACACATTCAGCTGCAAGTACACACTGCCCCCACCCCATTCCACCCACTCAAGAGCCTCACCCCAGCTCCCACCTGGTCCCAGGCAAGGCTAGATTTCTCCCTGTTCAACACATGGTGACTCTCTCCAAACTGGCTGCAGGCTCACTTGGCCCCGCCCAACCACAGTCTGTGCCCAGGCATGACGTCAGCCTGATGCTTCTGATCTGATGAGCTCATCCTGCAAGGAGGCCACCCAGTCACTGGGGAGATATCATGTTGGGGGAGGGCAACCCTCTCCTCACTAGAGCAAAAGCTAGGGGGTCTCTGTTTGCCTGCTTAGTGCAGATCTGGGATTCAGAACAATCCACTTTCCAGCAGGGCTCTGACACCCCATACCTACAAGCAAGGGCCAACACTTTACATCTGTTCCCCACCTGAAAAACGGGACAATCCTAAAGACAATGTTGTGAATATTTAATGGGATGTTTGCAACAGCTCACGGCAGTGAAAGACCCACAGGAGACAGTAAGCAACGGCGATGTTTTCTGTACTATTATTTTTAGCAAACTGCCTCATACAAGCGTAGCTTCATATCAAAATAATTTTCTCCACCTGTGACTCACAAATTCCTCAACACCCCCAACCTACCCCCACTGTAAAGAAGACAGAGCAGGGACCCTGAAGCTCGCAGAGGGAGGATGACATGTCCCAAGTTGCCTACCTGCTGGGGACAGAGCCAAGACTGGAGTCTAAGCCCAAGGTACCTGGAAGCTAAAGGATTTGTAAATTCGTTCTTCCAGCAGAAGAGAGGAGCAGGAAAGTCTAGAAATGGCTCCTTTCTTGGCTTTGAATTTCAGAAATGATGCCCCCACCTAAGGAACAGCACATCTGGGTAATCACTATTATCACTTACAGTAAAAATACAAGCCCAGCCTCGTGGTACCGTCCTCTATGCTGCTCAGGAGGCTGAGGCAGGAAGATCAAAAGTTCACAGTGTCCCTGGGCCACAGGGTGAGCTCAAGGGCAGTCTAGGCAAATTGAATGAGACCCTGTTTCAAAATAAAAAATAAGAAAGCCAAACAGTTTCCAAGGCCACATTTAGGCCTGTTTACAAATACGTGCACACTTTGTAGGCTAGGAGCCACACGTGAGGAATAACATAGTATAAAATTTAGAAAGGAGACCAGGAGAAGGTACTATTCAGTGATGAAGAAGGGCGGAATGCAGGCAAAGGACAGATGAGAGGTGAAAGAGGAGAGAAAGCTATTTTTTTCTAGTTTCAACTCTGTCATAGTGAACCTTTTTCCTTTTTTTATGGTGGATAAGTGAGTAAAATGTCATTGATAGCGATGGTGTAAAGCCCTAAGCAAAGCTCAAGTCTTCAGAATGGCCATTTTAGCTGTAGAATTAGTTCACCGAGTGGCACATTTGGGACTGGGCAAGTGTCGGAGTGGCTTCCTTAAAGAAGCTGTGTGATATTTTTATTTGTGAGTTAATTACAACAAGATGATTTTAGTTTAAAAAAAGAAAGAAGGCTCTTGGGCTGTAGTGCAATGGCAGAGCATTTGCCTAGCATGGATGAAGCCCTGGGTTCAATCCCCAGTGTTATAAAAAAAAATTGTTTTGAGGTTGGAGAGGTGGCTCAGCAGTTAAGAGCACTGACTGCTCTTACAGAGGACCTGGATTCAGTTCCCAGCACCCACATGGTGGCTAACAACAGTTTATAACTCCAGGGGATCCAATGCCCTCATTTGCTCTCTGAGGGCATTGCATACATGTAGTGTACTTACATACATGCAGGCAAGACACTCATATACATAAAATAAAAATAAATATTTTTTTAAAGAAAGTCAACAGATTAGGGATGAAGCTCAGTAGTATAGTGTTTCCCTAGTATGTGCAAGTATGTTTCCCTAGTATGTGTTCTACTCCAATAATGCAATCAATCGATGAACTAAATACAAAGTAGAAACAGAAACTGTCCAATTACTGGTCCTTCATATACGCAATGGTACAGTAGTAGGTATTTACCTTTCATGGCTGTGGGGGAGGATTCCTCAAGTTAATATTCATGCAGCACTTAAGAGCAGGTCTGCTGAAGAGAGAACATCATACACACAAATCCCTCTGCTGAGTGTGCAAGAATGACCTCATGAATTCCAGATGACACATCCCATCCATTGCACAGGTGAGAAAACAGACAGCTCAGACACCCCTGGGAACAATATTACAACCAATAACGTTCTTTTGCTTGACTAAACTTCAGTCAGATTCCTTCCTTATTTTCTTCTAACATCCACTTTTAGGGAGAACTTGTCAGCTTATCCACCACCGCCATGGCTGGATGGATGATGACTCTCCTTGTCTGATAAGGTATGTCCCCAGGTGAGGGCTGCTCTCCCTGGTTTGTCTTCAGCAGGAAACTTCCTTAGGTCAGTTTAGTCATTTTCCACCATTTGACCTCATCCTGCTTCTAGGCTATAAATTCCCACTTGCTCATGCTGTGTTGCGGAGTTGAGCACAATCTCTCCCTGGTGACAAGACTACCTATCACAAAGACCCTCTGTCCAATAGTGGCACTCTCTTCATAGTTTGACAAGTGTCATTTGAACACTATGATTTTTTTGTTGTTGGCCATTTTCAGAAGGTTGGGGTTACAAGACTTTGGCCACATTGTTAAGTAAGGATTTTTATCTACCTCCCAATCTACTGGGCTGCTGTCTGAATTCTGCAGATCCCCAGGGTGGAAGGCAGGATGCAGCCGGCTCTAGGGATGGTATTTCCAGAGGGTGATCTGAGCCCTCAGCCAGGCGGAAAGATATTAATAGTCTGGCTTTAGTGCCCTGTCCGGCCCTTTAGAGCAGGGGGTGGACTGAAGCTCCAGGAGGCAGTGGGGAGGGCGGAGCGGAGCACCGGCTGGGGAGGAGACAGTGAAGGAGAGGCTGGCTGGACTAGAATGCCACGGCCCCTCCCAGCACCCTACCCCAGTTGTTCCCTCAGCGGATTCTCGGGGGCTGGTTCATCACCTCCGAATACTCTAGTGACAGGAGGTGCTTGCAAACCCGCCCCCAGCCCCCAGCTGCAAATAAATACAAGGATCCCAGCCCAGAAGCCAGGAGAAGTTTCTAGGCGCGCGTCCCTGAGGTTTATTAAGCTCTTGGCTCAAGACCTCAGCAGCTTTGTTTGGAAGCCTGGGCCGCCTGGGAGGACGGTGGCTTGCTGATAACCTGCTGAGACAGGACACAGAGAGGCCCTCTGGGATTCTGCTGGGCCTACTGGGGGTCACCTTTGGGGACCGGGATCCCAGCCTGCTGTGCACCACCATCCTGGGCAGCAGATGGTTGGGTTTGTGGCTGGCAGCTTTTTCTGAAGTGGAGGAATAAGCTCTGAAAGCCATCTCAAGCCACATCGCCTTGCTGTGTGACCTAGGGTAGGTGGCTGTGTATCTCTGAGCCTCTGTTTCCCCTCCGAACTCAGCAGACACCATGGCTGATGGCCAGATGCCCTTCTCCTGTCATTACCCGAGCCGCCTGCGCCGAGACCCCTTCCGGGACTCACCCCTCTCCTCCCGCCTGCTGGACGATGGCTTTGGCATGGACCCCTTCCCCGACGACTTGACAGCCCCTTGGCCTGACTGGGCTTTGCCTCGTCTCTCCTCTGCTTGGCCTGGGACACTAAGGTCTGGCATGGTGCCCAGGGGGCCCACTGCCACAGCCAGGTTTGGGGTGCCTGCTGAGGGCAGGAGTCCCCCACCCTTCCCTGGGGAGCCCTGGAAAGTGTGTGTAAACGTGCACAGCTTCAAGCCAGAAGAGCTGATGGTGAAAACAAAGGATGGCTATGTGGAGGTGTCAGGTGAGTCCAGGGCCTGGAAGGGTAGGGGTTCCAGGAGGTGGTGAGGGTTCAGCCCTGACAAGGCTCCCTAAGAGGGGACTTGTGACAGCCAGCATGGCACAGCTAATCTCAGGGCTGAGGGATGCAGCCCATGATGTTATCTTTAGGAAGAGTTCTTCTCTCCGGGCCACAGGAAGAGTCTTGATATGACCCACTGCTGGGGTCCTGGGGTGTGGGGGTACTATATTCATCTGAGAATTGGCAGATAAATAGAAACCAGGTTGGATGTTTTGACATGAGCAGTTTAATATAAAGAATAGGCCAGGCACATGTAAAAGGATTCTAAAGACAAAAAGGAGTTCTCACACTCCAGAAATCACAACACAAGCCAGAGAAGCAGAGTTATCTCTGAGTTCAGATAGTCAGTCACCAACATGGGTTTTAAGCAAGTCATCTCCTTTACCCTAGAAAGGAAACTAGGACTCTGGGGGAATTAGAATAATATAACCAGTAAACTTGGTGAAGTGCTGACCGTCTGCCAGGCACCTGTTTAACCACTGTGCCATAGCACCTGGCAGCGTCTGCCTTAATACCCAGAGGAGGTAAGTCCTGCTTATCTTCTCCTTTCACACATGAGGAAACTGAGGCACCGCTAACCCAGGCTGGGAATTGGGAGACAAAAGAGAACTGACTTTTTTTTTTTTTTAGCCAGGTTGCCAAATTTCAAAGCTAAAATGAATTCTTTGAATTTGTCTTTAAAAAAAGAATGAAACAAAACAAAACAAAAAATCAACAAAATTAGCTTTGCCCGGGTCCTGAGTCCCATGACTGTCTAGCTCCATCCTACAAGCCCAGGAGACAGAGGCCCAGGCAGGCCTCAATCCCGAGTCATACAGTGAGTCAGCAAAAGGAACCGAGGAGCCTTTAGGCCAGGCCACAAGGCTAGGCCTAGGACTTCCACTACCGGATTACAGTCTGGGTGAAAGAACACTCTGGGGAAAAAAGAGAAGAGACAGGAAGCTCTGGGCCTCAGAAAAAGCTTTCTTCTGCTTCCCTCCCAATTAACATGCCATTAAAAAGAGCTTGTTCCTGGAAGAGGCCTGTCAGTCAGAAAATCAATAAAAGCCATTGCAAACACTCACTAGGCAGGGACAAGCCCTGGCAGTGTTCAAGGGGGAGCTTTAAAGCCACTCAAGGCAGGATTATAAACATCAGAGGTTCTGGTGCTGGCTTTGGGTGTGGTGGGCCAGACACTGGGGCACGTGCTGCAGGGGTGGGCTCTCCAAGTTGACTTGGCAGCCAAACACAGTTACAAAAAGAAAACTGGTTCTGCCAGCCTCTCACTAACCAACAATGGGCCTATTACTTTTTTGTGCGTCTTATTCCTCATCTGAGCATCAAGGTTCCCGTGGCTCTTCAGGAAGGATAGCGATAACATTATATGAAATGATGCTTGTGGGGTGTGTACATGGATGTGCCTGGGCCACCAGAAGATAGGTTGTTATTGTGATAAACAATGGCATCATGGTGGCCATGCTGTGGGCATGTAGGACAGTCCCAATAAGTAATAATAGATAGAGGCTCTATAAGACTTGGCTTTAAATTCAAGCACTGCTGTTTGTTGCAGGCTGGATATAAACAAGGAAGTCTTTACCACTCTGGACCTCAGTTTTCCTGTCTGTGGATTGGGGATCATGATTACGCCTGTCCTACAAGGCTGAAGGGAAGATTTAATACATGTAGACTCTCTACTATATCCAGAGAGTCTGTAAAGTGCAGTTAATAAGCACCGGCCTGGCGCTTGGTACACAGAGTGGTTATTTTGCCATACCCTTGCTCTTGTTTTAATTACTGTTGTTTAATCCAAGCGGCTTCCAGATCGTCCACACCCTGTCTTTCTCCATCCTCATTTGAAGGCTTTTCATAACAGGTGGAGTTTGGCAGCCACAGGCTGAGATTCCAGCTAAGAACCTTACAGATCCAGAAGCCTAGGGTATATCACAGAGCCTCCATATCTACATCTGTAAAATGGGGACACTGGAACCCAAGACAAAATGATAAGTCCTGTGCATGTACAACTAGTGACCCTAGCTACAGACCTTTGAGCACATGCAAAAGCTTTCTTTCATAAAAGAGGTTTGAGAACCAAGATCTCTCTCCATGATCTCTCTCTCTCCGAGATCTCTCTCCATGCCAAAACAGCTTCCTGATCAGCCATGTGAACCTGGATACCCAGATTTTGTTAAAAGGCTATTCTAGGAATATGGGTAGGTTTGTAACACCACTCCTGCCCATTTTATAGGCAATGAAACTGAGGCCCAGAACAGCTAACTCACCCAAGACTGCCTACTTCCTCTGTGACAGTATCTAACTTTCAGAGCCAGGCTACCTGGTCATTGGCTGAGTGTAGTTCTGACTGTGGACCCAGCCAGGTTCTACCCTCAACTAGGGCCTCAGCTTCTTTGCTAGTCTCATGAAGGGGTAGACTAGATCAGTATTTGCCAAATTATCTGTTTCAAGATGTGACTAGGTATCCGGAAATTGGAAGAAAGGATGTTCTGAGTTTTGGAAGATGCCAGATGAGCCAAAATCAGGAGCGAGTCTGTTCCCTGCAGGACTTCTCAGAGACTTCCCTTGGTTCAGGTAGTATGTGAATCTCTGAAAGACAGCCCTATCTTATCTGACCGTTCCAGGGCAGTGTTTGGAAAATGCTGAGCTAGATGACTTCCCTCACTCCTCATATTCTGTCACCCCCATCCTGCAGCCACCAGCCAAGAAATGTTCTCTTCATGGGCCACTGGGCCAGGCCCTGCCTGGCTAAGGAAAGACCTGGAAAAAAAGACTGAAGCCTTATTCCAGCTCCTTCTTTAGTCCCAGGGCCTCTGCTCTCCCTGGAAACAGCACCTTCTTTCTTTGGTGGAGCCTGTGACATTCCCAGCAGCCAGTGTGTTCTGCCTGGCACTCACATCTCTCTAGGGCATGTGGAAAAGAAAAATCAGAGCTGTCAGAGAGCTCTGTTGTCCCAGGACTACAGAGAAGCTCATTCTCTATCAATCATCATCGTTATTTTCTTCTGTTTACAAAAATCAAATGTTTTGATGGTAGGAAAATGTAGATCAGGAAGCAAGATGAGAAAGGAAAAGTGGCTGTCCAAGGACGCAATAGAGCTATGCAAATGTTATGCAAATGAAGAACCAGAATGACCCACCTCTTTCAACTACACTGACCCCTTCCAGGGTTCCCCTTATGGAAATTTTGGAGTTTCTCTTGCTCAGAGACTTTCCCTGCTGTTAGCCTACACTCTGTTTTCAGAGCTTGGCTTCTGACCCATTCAGTTTCTGAGGGACCCTCCTTTCCCTAAATATCAAAGTGATTTACAGGGGTTCACCTCTGCAGTTTGCAAGGACTGAGTGACTCACTCCATTGCCCCACCCAGTACTCTGGTCATACTGGAATTGTCCCTTCATTTTAGAAGAATAAACTGAGGTTCAGAGAAGGATAGATCTGTGTTAGGAAATGTCAGAGCAGGGGTTCACATCCAGCCCCCAAGACTCTACAACCTGTTTGCTTCCGAGTCTTTGCTCCATCACTTCCAGACTGTTTGACCTTGGGTGCTTCACTTAACCTCTCTGAACTTCAGTTTCCCCAGCCACACAGTGGTTGTAATAAAAGTCCCCGCTCTCTAAGGTGATTGAAAAATTAAAGGAGTTGGTATAGGTAATTTGCTGAGAATGGTGACTGACACCACATACACATACAGATGCCTCTTGACTCACTGTGGGAGGAGGGTCCCACAGACCCACTGTAAATCCAAAATATCCCAAATCTAAACTGCGTTAGACTGAATATTATGGCTGAGTCCAATTTACCTTGAACGTTCATAAAAAATTACACCTGCCTACAGGTGGACAAAACCATCTCACACAAAGCTAATTTCCTAACAGTGTTGGTTATCTCATGTAACTTATTGAACAAATGAAAAACAACAACATGGTAGACAGAGTGGAAAATAATAAGTTGAAAGGCTATAAGGTGGGTAATGTCTTTCCAACCTGGCTGTTATTCCTTCATCTTCATTATCATCACTGTCATCATCATCATCGTCACCATCAGTTACCAGACCAGCACAAGGATGTCAGGATGCAGAAAAGCTGAGTCAGAGGCCCTGGCCTGTCCCCAGGGGAAGCAGGCCTCAGAAGCCCAGGCCTTAGGGAGGGGACCAGAGAACAGCTAGTGTTCTTTTGGCCACAGGCCCATGCTGGCACTGGGTAACTACTTCTCATAGAGTTGGAGAGAATCACCTCTCAGAGTGACAGCACATTCACAGAATAACATGTACTGGTCACCAGGCACTCCAGTTTAAAAGTGAATTCTTGTCAATATATCTTTCCTCCTGCAGAGAATAAGCTGATGTGGGTTTTCTTAAGGGCTATTTGACAATATAGGTCAGGCCTTAGAAATTCTAAAGCTTGAACCAAATCTCTCAGAAGTCACCAGCTTGGTGTGAAGATCTAGCTGCAAGAATATTCAGTACAATGAGGGGGCCTTCCAGTGTGGAAGCCTTGTTAGTACCGAAGAGTAAGAGACTGGCTAAATAAGTCTTTATGAATTCTTGCAATGGAATATTGTGCAGCTATTAAAAAATCATGTTGTGTTGGGCCAGGGAGATGGCACGGTATTAGCTGCAGCAAGCATGGGGTACTGAATTTGATTCCTCAAAACTCACATAAAAAGCTGGGCATAGCAGCTTGTGCCTGTAATCCTAGCACTGAGGAGGTGAAAACAGAAGGGTCCTTAGTGCCTGTTAGCCAGCCAGCATGGGCAAGTTGGTGAGCTTCAGGTACAGTGAGAGACCCACCCTGTCAAAAATTAAGGTGGAGAGCCAGCAAGATGGTTCAGCAGGTAAAGGCATCTACCACCAAGCCTGACAACCTAAATTCAATCCCCAGGACTTACATGGCAGAAAGAGAAAGCTAATTCTTGGGGATTGTCCTCTGACCTCCTTGGAATGTGCCTCAGCATACTAACTAAATAACTAACTAAATAAGTAAATTCTTTAAATGTAATAAAAGTATAACATGGAGAAACAATTGAGAAAAACATCATCTCTGGCCTGCATGCACATATCCAGCACACACACACACACACACATACACACACACACACACACACACATACAATAATGCTATCAAAGAGTATCTGGAAATATGGAAAAATGACCAAAATGTCTTCACAAGAGAAGAGCAGATTTCAAGCGCATTTTGTAGAATGATCCTGTTTGGTGTGATGTGCGATGCACAACTGTGCCATATATCTTCCTGCATTTCTAAGAACCATAGCCTATGTCTGGAACATGTAGAGATGCTATTCATGGCTTTTTAGGGGTAATGGAACTATGGATAATTGTGATTTTTGTAAATTTCTTTCCTACATTTTCTAACATACATATGTATTATCTTGTAATCAGAAAATGTTATTAAAGGAATGATTAATGATAGAATGTATTACTAATGCAATCACCTATTGATGATGAGTTTAACACAGCCTGGATTGCACCCCAACACTGTCATTCAGTGGGGGGAGTTGACAATCTACATGCAGAATCTCCCAGAAAGACCTCCTCCGGGGTAGAGGTGTAGAGGAGGGGCCTAGGCCCTAGAATGTGGTCTCACAAAGGCTGGGGACTGATGGGCACTGAGAAGGCTGCACCAGGCCCTAATCCTGTTTGTTTAAAGAAAAATTGGAGACACATTCTCAACTTAAAAAATCAAAACAAAAAAAAAAACAGAGGAAGGAGGAAGGAGGAGGGCAGAGAGAATCAAAATTTACTGTGTGAATTGCAATATAACAGTCTGTTTGTTCCTGAGCCTTCCTGTAGTTTCATCTTTTTCCACCATAATTGGAATGAGAAATAGTTCCCTAGGAGGCGGGGCCACTGGAATTTGCATCTCTGGTTCTATGGCTTCCTCCTTTAAGCTGGGAGTGTTCAGCAGACTGAAGCATTAGTTCTGGCTCCCCTTAATGTAGCACAAAAAGCTAACTGAAATCTGAGGGCAAGGGGGTGGGCAACTCCAGCGTTTGGCCTTGATTCAGAGGAAGCTGATCTAAAGCCCAGAGTGAACGTGCACTTTCTGGGTGAACTTGAATCCATTCCGGGGCCTCAGTTTTTATTTCAGTGGCAAACTGGAAAATAAGCTGATCCTCAGACCTCAGGGGAAGGGCACCGGGTGACCAGGAAGCCTGAGGCATGTGGCTTGACTTCTTCCTTCTGCCCTGTTTATCTGAGATGCTAGCTCCTAGGTTCTGCTGGCTGGTTAGCAGCTGGCAGCTAAGTGGGAGACCAGAAAACATGGAACAACAGGTGTCCCATTTTAACATTTAGTTGTCAAAAACCATCATCAAAGTTTCCTTTCCTGCCCATCCTGGGAAGGGCAGCCTGGGAAGGGAGGCTTGAGTCTGTATGACCCTTGAGGCTCAAATCTTGGAATTCAGACCAAACCTAAGCTACAAAACAAGGTAGGGGCAGAGCCAAGATTCAAATCCAATGAGTCCTGGAATGGTGCCTGAAGGACAAAGATGCTCACACAGATGACATGCCTCTGTCTTCCAGGCAAACATGAAGAGAAGCAACAGGAAGGTGGCATTGTCTCCAAGAACTTCACAAAGAAAATCCAGTAAGTAGCCCTACAGGGTGAACTTCAGGGCCTGACTGGGAACTGAGGGTGTGGAACCTAATTCTAGATCTCACTCTCTTGGTAGACACACCCTGGGGGCAGGGAATTGAGCTCTCATACCTGAAGGGGAGAAGGTGTCATAACAAACCTGCAACAGGGCCTGGGGGTCGGGGTTCAAACTATCATCTTGTAGGCTCAGAGCCCTGTGAGGGCATTCATACCATCAGGGAACAGAAAGGCAATGATTCATCCACAGGACTCAGATGGGGTGCTCCTTCATCTAGGTGCCATAGCCCAGAGAGGGCGCCAGTCACTGTAAGACCCACCTATGACATCCTCGATCCTCCAATAGGATCTTGTATGTGTGTGTGTGTGTGTGTGCATACACACAGTATAGTGTATGTGTGTATGGGGTGCATGCACCTATGTGCACACAGAGTCCAGAGGAGGACAAACGTCCTGCTCAATGATTCTGCCTGTCTTATTCCCTTCAGTCAGGGTCTCTCACCTAGAGCTGGGCTGGTGGCCAGCAAGTCCCATTAGCCCTCCTGTCTTTGCCCCACTGCTGGGTTTACAGACACTTGTGACTACACCTGGCTTTTTACATGGGTGCTAAGGATTTGAACTCAGATCTGCATGTCTGTAAGCAGCCTTACCCCTAAAAATCATTTCCCCAGCCTCTCCAATAAGATCTTGTGGGAGCTGCTTACTATGTTCCACCACAAATAGGACAACACCAATGTTCCCAACAACACTAGTTAAAACTAAGATGGGTGATTTTCATGGGATCACCATTACCAACCATGGAGATTTGGAGGCTGAGACACTGGGACAGAGGAAGGACCAGTTTTCCTGAGGGGAAGGATTCTTGTGAATCTTACAAACGCGGTAAGCAGACAACCAGGCTGAGCCAATAGATCAGGGCCATCTGGGGCCCCTAAGTGGCAGTTCCTGTAGGGAAAGAAGGCTCAGTGGAGGATGCCGGCTGCATTGGAGGCACAGCTGCTGGATGCCTGGTGTGCATCGTCTCTCTCATCTGCAACATTCGGTAGGTGCATTTCTGACCCTCAGGTCTTTTCTCAGCTGCCACTGTGTCGGCCTCCGCACTGAGGTACACATCAGGGAGAAGATGCATTGTGAACCCTCCTTGTACTCTGGAGAAACTAAATCTCCCACAGATGAAAGGGCGTAGCTAAGGCCGAGAGAAGGAATTTATCATAGCCCCAAACAGTCCTCTGACCTCTGAGTTCCACACTGGGTCCTTTAGTAAAGGACACTGTTTCAAGCCTTGCAGGCCACGGTAGATGCTCACAGAGGTTCACATACAGCTGTCTGCTACTGTGATTGCAGTTGTATGTGAGCTCCAGTTGTATGTGAGCTTGCAGTTCTATGTGAGCTCCACAGTAGGCCTGGCAAAGATGACATGGAGACAGATGGCACCGGCTGAATTCTGATACTCCTTTCTCTTTGACAGCCTACATTCCTGTCTGTGTGTTCATGCCCTTCCTGACCTTCCCAGTACCTCCATGGCTCCGGAAACTTCCTGATAAGGGACCTACCAAGTGCTTTCGTTTTTCACATTTGCTGGCTTGCTAAATCTGTGTGACCTTCACCTCTCCCTGGTCCAGCCTCCAGAACAAATAGAATTGATGGGAGAGGAAGGGGAAGAGGAAAGGAAGGGCACTGTTATTTCCCTCTAGATGCTCAGACCCAGGCTCAGGATGGAATCATTAACAGGGAAGAGCCGAGAAAAAGACCAAGCAGGGAAGAAGTTGGTGAATCAATAACCTTAAAAAATATATCCAGGGGATGGGAAAATGGCTTAGTGGGTAAGAGTGCTTGGTCTGCAAGCCTAAGGATCTGAGTTTGAATCTCTAGCATTCGTGTAAAAAGCTGGCCATGGCTGCCTGTGCCTGTAACCCCAGCATTGTGAAGCAGAGAAAGACAGATCCCGAGAGCTCACTGGCCAGCCAGCCTTGTTGAAATGGTGAGCTTCCAGTTTAGAGAGACCATGACTCAAGGGAATAAGACAGAGAAAAATAGAGGAAGACATTTGACATCTTGTTCAGACCTCCACATGCAGGTGCAAAGGTGCAAACACCCACACACTCACATGAATGTACCACATATGCATCCTACACACACACACACACACACACACACACACACACACACACGGTGTCCAAAGCTGGGTATGGTAGCTTATACCTATAATCCCAGATCTCTGGAGGCTGAGATAGGAAAACTGTCCCAATTTGGGCTACATAGTGAGTTAAAGGCTATTCAGGACTATTTAATGAGACCCTGTTGCAAAAAAGAAAAAAATGTCTTCTTTGTGGATTTCCCCACCTTTGAGGTCATGTGGGAAGGAGCTCCCTAGGAATTGTCTGAGTGGATAGAAATGCACAAAGCTGCTCAGGGTAGGGCTGCTCAGCTGGTGAGGGGTTCGTTGTTTAAAGGTTGGCCAGATGTGCTACTTTGTCGCTGTGACAAATGCCTGAGGTGAACAAAGGAGGAGGAATGTGTTTGGGCTCCTGGTTTCAGTCCATCACGGCTGAGGAGCTCACATCATGGTGGCCGGGAGAGCTCAAGAGCAAGAGTGAGTCAGTAAGAGAGCAAGGGAATGCTTGTGCATTGGGGAGCACTCTTCTGTTTCCCTTTATATGCCTCTGGGATGGTGCTGCCCACGTTCAGGGAAGGTCTCCCCCACTTAGTTAATCCACTCCACAAACTCCTGCACAGGCACACCAGAAGGTGTACTTTGCTAATCTCAGAAATTCCTCTCGATCCAATCAAGTTGCCAGTCAAGACTGATGTCACACGAGCCATTGCCCTGAGCCTACCACATGCCAATCCCAGACACCTTCACCCTATCCCCAGAACCACCCAACCCTCCTTACATTCCAACAGCTAAGGATCCCCAAGGTCTTTTTCCATCAATACACCCATTCCCAATGGTCAGTGCCCAGTTGCACCACTTGTTAAGTATTTTGACTCTCAGCCCTGGGTGTGGGGAGACCCCATACCAGACAAAAATAAATAGGTCACTTAGAGTGAATTGTGTAGCTGCTCTGAGCTTAAGTCCCTGAATTCTTTCCCAGATAGGGATGTGATAGAGAGAGGGAGTGTATGGATAAAGTGCTTGGTAGTGGGAATCAATATTATTGAGACTCTCCAATACTGGAATCACACATCAGTAGTTCTGCTGGATAAGAGACATTAAAGAGTCAAGCTAGAGCCAGGGACAGCTCAGGGTCAGTGCCAGGGAAACTCATTACCTCTCCCAGGAACAGTTCTAGTCATTAGAGGAAAGAGATATTTCTTCAGCTAAGCTGGGGTCTGTGGAAGTTTCCACCCAGACAGATGCTGCAGCTGTGTACCTTAGGCTTAGAAATGCAGCCCAAAGGTCCTGCTTGGGTTGGATGAGGGAGAGAAGAAGAGGTCTTGGAATCTGCCTGTCAGTTGGAGGCAGGCAGGGCTTACAGCTGGGCTCTTTTCAAACCCCAACTTAGAGGAAAGAACAGAAATAAGATGCAGGAAACCAGCAGTGGAGGATGCTCAAACAAAGAAAACCTTACTTTCTTTGTTCCACATCTTCCGAGATATCTGGTCTGCCAGTTGTTGACCAACAGCTATGTTAAGAGCTCTACAGTGTTAAATCTATTTAATCACTAAAAGAATCTTATTAGGTAAGATTATTAAACTCATCTTGTCGATGCAACTGAAGTTCAGAGAGAGGATGGGGCTCAAGTGAGATCTTACAGCTGGTGAAGAACAGGTCTGGAATATTACAAAGCCCTTAAAAAGGAGGAGGAAATTCTGCCAGTTGCAACCACCTGGGTGGAGCTGAGGGACACAATGCAAAGTGATGTAGTCAAAACAAAGAAAGAGAAATGCTATAGGTTCCCACTTTTTTAAATGTATTATTTTTTATTTTATATGTATGTGTGTATTGTCTGCATGTATGTAAGTGCACCCATGTTGTACAATGTCTGCAGAGGTCAGAAGAGGACATCAGATTCCCCTGGAACTGGAGTTAGCCACCATGTGCTTGCAGGGAATTGAACCCAGATCCTCTGTAAGATAGCCAGTGCTCTTTACCACTGAGCCATCTGTCCAGCCCAAGGTTCCCACTTTTATGTGGAATCTAAAATAGCCAAATTCATGAAGGGAGAGAAGGGGACGGTGTTTGTCAGGGGCTGCAGATAAACGGGAACCAGGAGATATTGGTGAAAGTTACGAAGTCTCAGTCAGGGGCTGGAGAGATAGCTCAATCAGTAAAGTGCTTGCCACACATAAGGATCTGAGTTCCTGCCCCAGAACCCACACTAAACGTCCTAGTGTGGTGGCATGTGTTTGTAATCCCAGAATTGGGGAGGCAGAGACAAGTAGACTTCTGGGCTCGCTGGCCAGCCAGTCCCACTGAATAAGTGAATAAGCAAGCCCCAGGTCCCAGAGAGAAACTCTGTAAAAAAAAAAAAAAAAATATGGTCAGCTCCAGAGGAACAACACTTACAACTGACCTCTGACCTACATATGAATGCAGACACATATGCACACACATACACACACTCACTTGAACACATGAAAACATACCTCAATTGGTCAAGATGAATAAGAAATAAATTCTGGAGATCGGATGCACAGTTTGTTGATCTGAGTTCCTAACACTCTTTTGTATATTTGAAATCTAAAATCTTAAATTTAATATTTTTAACACACATCCACATATAAAACGACAACTATTGATGATGATGTGATAAGTACCTTGACTTCGTAATGTATATATAAATCAAAACAAATGGCACATCCCATGATGTGCATATATTTACGTCATAAATAAATGATAGAGAGATGATAGATAAATAATTGATGATAAATGACAGATACAGATGATAAATGATAGATGATGATAGATAGATGATAGATAGATAGATAGATAGATAGATGATAGACAATTTGATATGCAAATCAACTCTCAATAAAACTCTCAAACAAAGGACATGTGGAATTTGAACACAGGTCTCTTTACATTCAAATCCCAGGACCTTCCTGCTTGATTAAGGGACATCAGATTATAGCCATTCACACCTCTTCACTTCTTACAGGCTTCCATTTCTGTACCATCACCTATTTAGGATTTCTTTCTTCCTCTGAGATTAACTCACTTTTGATAAAGTTAAAATCTCACACTAACTTGTTCCCTGGGGAAGACACCCATGAAATAAACCCAATGAAAGTAAACTGTGGTTTAATTCTAACTAGATAAGGTTGTTTGCCTGAGGGCCCAAGTTTTAGTGAGCTAGCTCTTTGTCAGAAAGGGAAAGCAATAAGTGATGGAGCCTAGAGGAGTTCCAGGTATTTAACACTCAGCTGAATCTTTCATTTAGATGTAAATGAAGAGCTAAACTGAAGAACTGAAGAAAAAGCATTTTCCCACTATTGCTAGGATGCACCATGGAGGTCAGCTGGTTAGAGTCTTGAGCCACTACTTTACTCTCTAGGCCTCAGTTTCTCCATGCGTAATGTGAGATCATTGTTCTGGATGATCAGGAAGGTCCTTATGGCTCTTATAGTCTATGGTTCACTGACTCTGCAACCTGCATCTAAATACCTATCATTGTCAGGTGCTGACGTGCAGATCCAGTGACTGCAAGGTACCCTCACTACCATCTCGTTAGACAGATACTATTATTGTCTGCTTTTCTCTAAGAAAATAGGATCAAAGAGGTCAGATCACCAACTCAAGTTCTGACAGTAGGGAAGAGTCAGAATTTGAACACAGGTCTGCTTGCCTGCAAGGCCTATGCTATATTGTACCAGGTGCCCATGTGTTGGCATGCAAATGGTTAAATATAGTCAGCCCATTCCCAGCAGTGGGAGGAAGGCCCACAGCAAGGCTTTGTCTTCTTGCTTCCAAAGCTTGGCTTGGCAACTGCCCAAACTCCCCAGCAGCGCTCTTGTTGATCTTCATAGTTTCGATTTGGCAAGGTGTCTCTGGGTGATTATGACTCACAAGGCTACAAGCTCCTGATCACAGCAAACAACTCCCAGTCCCTGCCCCCAGGAAGGGTCCTGCCTGCCCACAACCAGAGATGGGCTTGACTAGAGTCTTTGCTCTTTCATTAATATCACTCTCTGCAGAGCCAGTCTAAACTGTGGGAAAGTCTATGGTGAGAAAGTCTCCTGGCTCCTTTGCTACTCCCACAGTCCTTCCTTCAAAAGACTGGTGCCAGGGGAGGCAGGAGAGCATACTGATTTGCTGCTCTGAGTTTGGAGCCCAAGATTTCAGTTCTGATTCCCATCTGCTGCTGACCAGCTGTATGACCTTGGGCAGATCAGTTTGCCTCTCGGAACCTCAATATCCTTTTCTTTAAATTGGGGGCATTAATAGAACCAGATTGATGGAAATGTTGATGACAAATCTGATTAGATGAGTCAGAAAAGCACCTGACACATTGCAAGGTCAAAGTTCGTATTATTCTTACTCATAATGGCATCCCAACAAGACCATTAGCATGTCATCATGGTTTCAATTCGTTGAGGAAATCATATCCCAGGTAATGTCATTCACTCCAAATAACAAAAAAAAAAAAAAATTGTTTTTAAAATCCCTAGAACCAAGCATGATGACCATGCCTATAATCACATCATTCAGGAGGTCAGACCATAAAGCCAGTGTCACCTTGTATCTACTTGGGTACTGATTCCACCAATCATTCCACCATTAATGTTCCAGTAAGTATTATAGTAAGGCACCTTCCATCAGGCACATGCCAAATGAAAGTGTGTTGCCTAGGGTAGCACCTGCCTTGTGCTGTATAAAGTAATATTGTAATGACTGCTATTCAGACCAACAACTTGATGCCTGGAACATGATCTAGACCGAATATATAGGCCACAGTTTCCTTTGAAGTAGTGGTTCAAGTATCATTTAACCATTTTCAGAGAATGTTCAGACTCTGGTTCTAGAGCTGCCAGTACTACACAAGTTGAATAAAATTATCCCGTTATAGATGAGGAAACAGGTTCAGAGTAATTGAATGACTATCCCAAGATCCCATAGCTTGAAGAGTCACAGAGTCAAGTACCCAACCCAGTATCTAATACCCTCCATAGGTTAAAGTCTTATTAAGAGTATTTTCTTAGAGCTGAAGAAATGGCTCAGTTGGCACACTACTTGCTGTGTTCATAAGGACCTGAGTTCAGACCCCAAGGATCCATGAAAAACCTGGGTACCACTGCCCATATCTGTAATCTTAGAGCTGGGGAGCTGGACACAGGCGGATTCTTGATACTCATTGACCAGCCAGCATAACTGAACTGATGAGCTCTAGATTTAGTGAGGGATCCTGTCTCAAAAACTAAGGAGTCAAGCAATTGAGGATGACACCTGACATTGAACTCTGACCTCCACACACATACACAAATGTATATATGCATTCTCATGCACAGATGAACATATACATACACCATACACACACAAGAATATTTTTTCCAGTGAGTACAATTGTTTAAGCTATAATAAAATGATGAATGAATAAGATCTTTTTGTTTCCCTCTCCTAGGCTTCCTGCAGAAGTGGATCCAGTGACTGTATTTGCCTCACTTTCCCCAGAGGGTTTGCTGATCATTGAAGCTCCCCAGGTCCCTCCTTACTCACCATTTGGAGAGAGCAGCTTCAACAATGAGCTTCCCCCAGACAACCAGGAAGTCACCTGTTCCTAAGACTTCAGTCTTAGCCAATCCCCAACCCCATCCCCAATCCCAGGGATTTTCTGATTCCAGGGTGCACTGTTTTAGCAGAACTCACATTTAGAGTGACTCAAGTGTTGGGGAGTAGGGAGGAGAGGACAGAATAACCACAGAATCCCTGGATAATGTAGTAATAGATTTCCCACAGGATGACACAACAAGCAAGTGGTGCTTGATTGTATTAGGTCACAGTCCTGGGAGGTTCTCCTTATCTCCTATATCTGGATGGAAACATTATACAACCTATAGTTGTAACACAAAACCAAACAAATTGGGACTGAACATTTCATCTTACTTTGCAGTCAATTCAGGGTCACTTTTTTCTGGGGACCTCCCCATCACTCAGATTCTTGCTCTAGGCTCTCCTGATAGAAGGCGTGGTTGATGGAGTCCATGGGCTTACCCCACTGTTTCTAAATGCCTGGTCTAAGAGAGTTTATAGGTAGGTCTTTATATCTCCATATGGGATTTACCCATCAGCCACATAAAAGCAAGCAGTGCCTCCTGCCCTTCACCCAGACGTATACAGCATGATCCCATGGTTCTCAAACTGGCATCCTTTAAAGACCCTGGGAACCCCTCAGATAATTCTCTGGATAAGGTCCCCCCCCCATTTTGTCCCCTCTGTCCAAGTCAGATTTTTATAGAGAGAGCTGTTTATAAGCAGCCCTATCAGGAACCAAGCAAAGGCCAGACAGCCTGGCAGACAGTGGTATTGTGTATATGGGGGACAGGTGTGTCTTTTTTGTGTGAACTGTGCTGTTGTTTAGGGAAAGATAACAATAAATAATAATGATGATGATGACGACAATAATAAAGGGATCTGATGTTCTTATCTGTGCCTCATTTAATGAGAAACGAAATGCACCATCATCAAGATACACACCGTCAGGAGTGTTATGGCTTCAGGTAATAAAGCCGAAATGAATAGCGCGTTAAACAATATGAACAGCTATTGCCCAACTCCACAGCAGCTTAGATGTGTTTGCAGAGTTGTTTCTTTGGCTCTAGTTTCTGCCTTTCTCTGCCAGTTGCAACAAGTTTGCGTGGTTACCTTTGACCTCATGGTTGCAATGTGGTGGCGGCTCTTTGTACCACATCGTCACATGACAATGCAGGGGAAGAGAAGGCAATGCTGAAAAGCTTTTCTCATATAGTCCTTTGTTTCTCACTGATAAAAAATATTTCCCAGAGGCTCTCAGTGGATGTCTTCTTTTTTCTCCTTGGTCCAAACTGCATTGTATGTCTATCCAGAGACCAACAGGTAGCCAAAAGGAATGGGATAACATCTTGGTTGCTTTTCTTGTTGCTGTGATAAAATATTCTGAAAAAAGCAACTTGAGGGAAAAAGGGTTTATTTTGGCTCACAGGGGGAGGTTACAGTCCATCATGGTGGGGAAGTCACAGCAGCAGGAGCTTGAGGCAGCTGGTCACATGACATCTATGTCAGAAAGCAGGGAGTAATGAATGCTGGTGCTCAGCTCACATTCTCCTCTTTATACAGTCCAGGATCCCAGCCACAATCAGTGGGTGAATCTTCCCACCCAATTATCCTGATGAAATTAATCCCCAACAAGCATGTCCAGAGGCCTATCTCCAAGGTGATTCTAGAGCCCATCAAGTTGACAGTTGAGATAAATCAGCACAAATGGCCATAATGGGCTTTGGTTTATACTGGTTTACCCAAGTTCAGGGTGATTGCCACTTGAACAAGACAATGTTCTGTGAAGAAGGACAAGTGCGCAGTAACTTACTATGAGTTGCATCAATAATACGGTACTTGCCACACATTTGGATACAGCCAGGATTCCTGGACCTAGGATGGCAGGGAGCACAGCTGTGAAATCATTCTGTGGTACCCAGAGCCCCACCTAAAACTGATTAGAAAGGGATATTGTGGTTTTAATATGAATTATATCCCACAGGCTCATGTGTCTAACACCTGGTCTCCATCTGGTGGTGCTATTTTGGGAGGCCATAGAAATTTTAAGAGGAAATTGGAACCCGGGGACATGCCTTTAAAGGTTAGACCTGGTCCCACAATTTCTGCCTCTCTCTCTCTGCTTCCTGGCCACTGCGATGTATACTCCACTGTTCCACCATGTCCTCCCTACCATGATGAACTAAAACCTCTGAAACACTGAGCCAACCCTTTCCTTTGTTTCTGTCAGGCACAGCTGTGAGAATGCTAACTTACAGGGGTGCATGTTATTGCACACTCCCTGAGCCAATCCAGAATAAGAGCTGCTCTCAACTCCATCTGGATTCGGGGCTTTTGTGACATGAGTAGGACTCAGTTTCCCTACATTGGACATGGCTCAGCAGTGCTGGCTTCACTCCTGATCTCTCTGTTACCTCCTGCATCCCATGTGCCTGGCTTCCCACATCCCCATGTCCTCTCATGATACTCACAAGATGGCTGCGGGTTATAACATAATATCCTCCCACATTCCAGTCCTGAGACAGAGAAGCCAGTATTTCCCCATAGCCTCGATCATATTCCTGACTGGACCAGCTTGAATCTCACAACCAACCCTGAGCTAAGTGTGCATCAAGAAATCAGAATTTTGATGGGTCAGACCTGGGTCATGTGCTCCACCTCTAAAGCCAAGCCATCTCATGGCCATGACACCCTAGGAAGTAAATACTCATTTTTTAGTGAAGAAACTGAGGCTAAGTATCTTGGGTGGGCCACAATGTGATGGCAAAACCCAAACCCACATGCTTGTTTGGGGATAGTTAAGGAGAAGCTGCTGGATGGTTTCTCCAGGGCTCCTTCCAGACACCTAGCTAAAGGACGGCAGGATTGATGAATGCCTCCTGAGCACACACTGGGTTGTGTCCTGTGCTAAGAACTAGTTATATAGCACACAATGAGCCATAGTCCCTGTCCAGTAACAGAGGGGCACAGGAAAGGATGTGTGACTCTCTCTGAATCCTTACTGAGTCCTGGATACTCTACCTAGGGCTCAAATGTTTAATACATTTAATCATGCTACAATCCTATGAGGTAGGCCCAAGTCTTATCTCCCCCCTTTACAGATATGAAAACTAAGGCCTAAAAAAGTGAAATGCACCACCCCAAATCACACAACGGTAAGCAACATCCTCAAGCAGCCTAGGACCTTCATTTTTAACCATTGTTCTGCTCTCCTTTCTCCTAACAAAGCAAAATCAAAGTATGTATTAAGTGAGTCAGTCCTAACTGGGGAAAAAGGAGAGGTGCTATTGCAAGTTGGGATTTTGCATGACTTACCAGAGTGTCACTCATGTGAGGATCAGGCACAAATCAAGACTTGAGCAAACAGGAGTCAGGAGAGTTGCCTCAGAAGCAGAAGAAACACATGAGTCAAGGGGAAAGGCATGTTGCTCTGAAAATCCATTGTTTATAGGATCAAGTCCAAAGCTCACCACAAGACTCACAAGACTGCCAGATCATACACACACACCACCACTACCATCATAGCCCCAATTCCCTATTCTCTTTCCCTGCCCCATCTAGCTTCCTTCTGTTCTTCAGAATAAACTGGCCCTTTCAGCTATCAGGACATTGACTATAGCTTTCTGTCTCCTCCAAGGCTGACTCTTCTACCCTCTTCATTTAATTCTTTAGGGTCTTAGCTGGGCCTTTCACAGGATGGCCCAAGCTTGTTTTACTTACTCCTATCCTAACACAGTGCAGTCTATTATAACAGTCTGGATATTCATGTAGTGGAACAAATAATACTGACGTTAATAAAAAACCTAACTGATCCTAGCTTCCCTGTTTTAAATGGAGGAGAAGGAGTTATTCATATTTATGGGAAAATCCCTATGCATTTGATATTCATTCAGTAAATATTTTTTATGCATATCCACCACATATAAGACACTGAACTGGATGTTGGGTGCTGCTTCTTTCTTCTTCAAGGTGAGTGGAAGAGAAAAACAAGGGTGTTATTTCCAAGTTCATCCATTCTGGTCTTACCCACTAGTGATGAGATGCCAAGTGGATAGAGTAAAAGGCTGGTCCATGAGGCCAAGTGCATGGAGGACCACAGGGATCTTCCAGAGGGACTGGAACTGAACTATAGTGTGAGGTGACTAGTAAGGAATGCCAGGCCAGGTGCAGAGCACACCTGAAAACTAAAAACATGACACACAACATTCCATTTGAAATTTTTTGCATTGTGATGTAGAGCTTGTATTCTAGCCCCACCCGTAGGGATGCATACACAGGTGCTTCATGTGAGTGGGCTTGGGAGGCAGGGGCTGGATGGAGTCTGAAGACAATGCAATACAAAGTAAATGGAGAGAGTTCTTCAGGAAAGAACTTGGAGTGAGAAGAGGCCAGAGAAAAGACTTGCTGAGACATAAGGCTCTCTTATAGAAGGTACTTCATAGAAAGAGTATGTAAATCATGTTCAAATATCTAAGGAGAACTTCATTTCCCCAGATTCCTGAGCTACCTTCTGACCCAGGAAACCGCAGGTCTCATGAAGACAGACCCTATCTTGGTCCTTCTCTACTGCATCTCTAACTCCTCACATAACCTGCTGCATAAAAGCATCTCGTCTTGGACACATGTAGAGATATTGTATGTGTAATTTTTCAGTAAGTTTTTGGATGTGTATAGCTGAAGGCTACATAACAAGAAACAGTGCCAGACAGGAGAAACCTTCCTTTGAGTTGTTATCCAGAGTAGTCCAAGAGACTCCCAAAATTACACAGGCTATTGTCACAGCCCTTGATTGCCTCCCAGAACTCAAAGGTAAGATCCTATTGCTGAAGACAGGACATACTTTGGACACAGAATTTGGAGCAATGAAGCTGGAACTGACCTAGAAGCCACCTCCCCTGAAGGGGAGAACAGCAATTGATGGTCCAACCCTAGCTTTAAGGCCTAAAAACTTCATCAATGACTAGCACAGCAAATGGCATTGGTGCAGTAGTATCGTTTTTATCTTGGGGGTAATCAACAGTTACCTAATTGGACTTAAAGCCCATTCAGTGGGAGGAAAGTCATTGTTAGTTTTCCAGCAGGCTCCTAAAATGGCAGCGTAGCTCCCAACATTCTAAAATGGTGGGTTCAAACTTATCCCCAGGAAAGAGCCTCTGGTCATTGGAAGACCAACCAATCCTGAGCTAAACTGCCCAGCCTAAGTCATGGAAAGTTACCCAATCACCTAACTGCCTATAAAAGATGTCTGACTTCTGCTTGCTGCTGTTTCTCTGCTCCCTGAGAAGTAGCCCAGTGGTCTATTTGCTCTCAAATAAACTGCTGCCTCCCGCTGCCCCCCCCAATGGAGTTGTCTGGTCAGTGGTCCTTGCTGCTAAACTTCCATATTCTCATGTGTGGTACTGTAAACCTAGCCAAATACACATGGCTGGAGAAGTCATAGATCTTAGAGAAAACCCCAAGGCTGTCACATCCCTAGACAAATATAATTTCTTACTATGTGCAAATATGGATCCTTAAATTTACAGACAAGTATCCTAGTCACCACCCATCAAAGAAGCTTCTTTTTTCAACAGAACAGAAGTTATTACAGAATTCCACAACTGGTCATACACGAAGATTGTCTGTGAATTGCCCAAGCCTAAGTGGCATATTTATGATGCAACTTCTACACCTAAGGCACACGGAACGTAGAACAAGGGATAAGAAGACCACCAATGCATCTTTCAAATCTCATCGATGAAGCTCCTTCATGAAACAAAGGGCCAGGAACACAAAAGGTCACAAATGGCTGAAATGTAGAGAATAAGAGTCTACAGAGTATGAGTCCTTGGACAGGACTCAGGGACCATTGCAGAAGAGGGGATGGAAAGATTGTAAGAGCCAGGGAGAAGGTG